CCATTCCTCTGGCGTCCTGGCCTTATATGCCCAGTCTCATGGCTCAGGTTCGCCCACCTTTGCGGGCCCACAGCCTACTCCAGGTGTCTGCCATCTGGCATGCATTTAATCTAATGACATGAGGGTGGAAAAGCCTGATACATTTTACTTACCCTACACACATGAAAAAACAAAACTCTTCATCTCCTGTATTTGCTAAAATGTATTCACCAAAACAAACAAAAAATAAGTTTAAGGTAAATTATTTACTAATTAACTTGAAAGGGAGGATCTTTTCACAACATATACATATATCAAAAGATATTGCAACTTGTAATATCTTACAATTTTGCCAAGTATACCTTAATAACTCTGGGGAAATTAAAAATAAAAGGGAGGGATGTAGGGATAGAGGGAGTGAGAGAAAATGAAAGAGTTAATTTTTTTTTAAAGATTTATTTTATTTATTTATACAAGCACCGGGTACAGTCAGAAGCACCGGAGGGTGAGAGAATTCACCAGAGCCAGAGCAGGGAGCAGAACAGGCAGACTGATGAAATACACTACTGAGGGAAGCAGCGGGTATGGCAGGGGAGGTCTAAGCACCATGTGGGACCCTCACTTGTGGCCAGGGATCGAACTGGTGCTACAGAGGCTGCGGGCAGCTTCGCAGCCCAGCGCTCAATCGCTGCGCCACTGGGGAGGCCCGAAAGAGTTAATTTTTATGCCAAAACATTTTTTCCAAATTCCTTCTTTATTTCATCTCTTAGCAAATCCATCATGGAATACTATAGCTTATATTTTCCCTCTTACTTTCCTTTGTCACATTTATTGATACATATTTTCTTTTACAGTTCTTGTTACATTCTAAGTCAGACTCTTAAAATGATCTCTAGATTATTTTATTTTTTAAAGATTTATTTATTTATGCATACAAGAACTGGGGTACAGGCCAGAGGTGCGGGAGTGAGAAGATTCACCAAAGAGAGTGAGGAGCAGAACAGGCAGATCTACTGAAACACACTGCTGAAGGCAGCAGAGGGCAAGGTAGGAGAGGTCTGTTGCACCATGAGTGTTGCTCCCTGGCCAGTAGGGAATTGAACTTGTGCTGCAGGGGCTGGCAATAGCTTGATAGCCCTGTCTTTAACCCCTGCGCCACCAGGGAGACCCTCTAGATTATTTTAATGGCCTATCAAATACTCTCTCTACCTCTATACATGTTAGCTACAAAATAGCATATATGCAAACTTAAAGGAACTCAAGAAAATATCAGAGTAGGGGAAAAAAAACATTTATTTGTATGTATATCATCCTTGGTTAATTTCCTTATTAATGAAAATTACAATGCACTTGCTATATTAGCAAACTAATATGTATATATATGCATTGTGTTTATAAATAAATAAAAAGTGCATGTTTAGAAGTCCATGTTCAAAATATATATATATATTTTTTTTTAAAGATTTATTTATTTTTATACAAGAGCTGGGGTACAGGCCAGAGGCGCGGGAGGGTGAGAGAATTCACCAGCAGCAGAGCAGGGAGTAGAATAGGCAGACAACAGGAATACACTGCTGAGGGGAGCAGCAGGAGTGACAGGAGCGGACTGCTGTGCCATGTGGGACTCTCGCCAGCTGGCCAGGATCAAACCCGCACTACAGAGGCTGTGGACAGCTTCACAGTGCGGCGCTCAACCCACTGCGCCATCAGGGAGGCACAAATATATTCTTCTTTACTTTCATGGTACAACCAATAGAAAGGCCTATATCAAAAAAGAAAAACAAAACAAAACAAAACAAAAAAACAGAAACAAGTGTTGGAAAAGTAACCCTCTTATTCTTCTGGTGGGGATGTAGATTGGTCTAGCCCCATTGGAAAGCAGTAGGGAGGTTTCTAAAAGTAAATGAAAATAGATCCACCATACAATACAGAAATCCCTTGATATGTATCAGAAGAATACAAAAACACTAATCTGAAAGGATATATTCATTCCTGTGCTCACTGCAGTAACATACATAATACATAAGTTATGGAAAGCATCTGCCCGAGGACAGATGAGTGGACTAGGAAGATGTGCTACACACACACACACACACACACACACACACACACACATATAATATATTTATATATATATATATATATATAAACAGTCGGACATTACTCAATTAGATTTCAAACCATCAAGCAAAGGAACAGAAAAATCTAAACCAAAAACAAATCCTAGAAATCTGACTGTAGAATTGACCCTGCCAGAGGGCAAGTGTGGGGGGAGGGGAGTCAAAAGGGGAGAGCACTCAAAGGATGATGTTGGAGGACTATGGGTGTCTTTGTGGTCAGTGTTGTGTGGTTACATACAAATGAAGTTACATGCAGTGTGGCAATCCAATGTTATCTCAAGAAAAGATAACACAATTAAAAGGTAAAATAAAAAATCTTCATATCTGGGGACAGAAAAAATGTTATATCTATTGATATTGGAATGATTCTGTTACTATTGAAAATGCCATTTGTATTGACATTGTAATGACCCTGACTGAAGGAAAAGTGGGGCAACCGAGACAAAGCAACTTCTCAATTATGCTCAGTGAAATAAGTCAGAAGGAAAAGGAAAAATATCAGATGGCTTCCCTTATAGGGGGAACATAGGGAAACTGAACAAGGGGTCAGAAAAACAAACAAGACAAAACTAGTAGACAAACTATAAATCTGAGACATATAGCAGGGGACGGGTAGGGAAAGGAAGAGAGGTCAAAACAGGGGATGGAAGGGCTCAAGAGACTATGATGATGGTTCCCAAATGATATGTTGGTGGGAATATTTTATGGGGATTACACCTGAGGGGAGAAATCAAACACTGTGCAAAAATGAAAATGATGTAAGAATTTTCTTTTTAAAAAAGCAACCATTTGTTTATGAAGATGCTGATAAAAGTAATGCAAGAGATAAGAAAAAATAAAAAAGTATAAAAATTTATCTTGCAGAGAGACTCCATCTAAATCAAAATTAACAAGCAGATTTATTAATATGTCTGTGAAAATGTCTGTGAAATATGCTGTAGAAAAAAAAGTAATAAAAGTAATGCAAGAGATAAGAAAAAATAAAAAAGTATAAAAATTTATCTTGCAGAGAGACTCCATCTAAATCAAAATTAACAAGCAGATTTATTAATATGTCTGTGAAAATGTCTGTGAAATATGTCTGTAGAACTATAGGCACTAGATTTGGATAATTTGAAATGCTTATGGATTCCATGCATAAAATCCTATATCCTCAGACTTTTGTAAGAATCACTAGGGACTTTCACTTTGAGAGATTCACATTGTGGCTCTTACATTTGGTTTGAATCATAATTAAAACCTCTCTGCTTTGATGGGTGAAAGCACTTTTTTATTTTATTTTATATATTTTTACATCATTTTTCATTTTTGCAAAATGTATGCATTTTCATTGTAGTTATAGTCCGAATACAATTCCCACCCGCCTTGTTTTGATCCTACTCCCTTCTCTCCCACCACCCCCAGTAGTGTGGAGCTGGAAGGGATCATGCTTAGTGAAATAAGCCAGAAAGAAAAAGAAAACTACCGAATGGTCTCACTCATAGCAGGAATTTAGAAAACCTAAATAAGGGACCAGGAAAAAGGCTTATCATAATAAAGTAAAAATCAAAATCAAAAAGCATTTCTGAAATCAGGACCTCATATTACAATTACGTACTATCTTTTCTTTTATAGTGTTTCATATGTCAATTTTCTTATTAGATGAAGATCTTGAGAACAGGGATAACTGATTATAAAACAAGGTATATAATAAGTGCTATTTAAATATACAAGTCAATAATCACAGTCAGAATTTTTAATATATATCTACAATAACATCTGAATCATGGAACACTATTTTAGGAAGATAATGAAAACTAGAAAGTGGATTATAAAAATCTTAATCCAAAAATTAAACCAACATATCTTAGTAAGAGAATAACACTCAAGAATAAAATAATTGCTTTTTAATCCTAAAGGGTTAAAAATACTGTGAAAGATATTTGCAGGTGCCAACTGGACTAATAAAAATTTAATGATAGACATATAAAAAAACTATACAACTTAAAACTTACAAAGTCACAGATCTTGTACAAATGAATCCAGAAGCAAACAGTTTTCTTTCCATAAAGACACTCATCTGACTTTAATCTTAAATATAGAATAATGTTATATTTACAATATACCATGCGATAAAGCAGTTCTATAGTTACTAAACCTGGTTTTCCCCCCAGGGATATCTTTGCATATGGAATAAACAGCACTTATATGAATGATAATTATTATTCAAATAAAATATAAACACTTTAAAGAAATATGATATAATAAAAAGGGAGAAGAAGTCAATCATTTGTTATATCAAATAAAATCACCTTAACATAGGATTATGAAAATCCTACTTCATATATTTGAAACTAAACTGAGCTGAATGAAAAAAAATGTTTTTAAAAAATTCAACAGGGACCTCCCTGGTAGCGCAGGCAGTTGAGCGCCGCACTATGAAGCTGTCCGCAGCCTCTGCAGTGCCAGTTAGATCCCCGCCGGCCTAGGAGCAACCCCAGGGCAAGCAGACCTCTCATGTCTTGCCCGCTGCTCCCCTCAGCAGTGTATTTCATCAGTCTGCCTGTTCTGTTCCACGCTCTGTCTCTCGTGACTCCTCTCACCCTCCTGCGCATCTGGCCTGTACCCCAGCTCTTGTATAAATAAAATACATCTTAAAAAAATAAAATAAAATAAAAAATAAAAAATTCAACACTGGGTGAATTATTAAAAATCTACTTGCAGATAAAATTACAAAATATATCTGAATAAAAGTGACATATTAACATAAAAATAATCATAATTTAATAATATACAAGTTATTAAAAGTTATTAAAACAAGCAGAGTAAGTCCTGAAGTATAAAAAGCAATGTAAGATCTGAAAAATTAATTGATTTCTTCTTGCTTAATAAATTACTGACAATCAAATGGTATTTTCTTACCTTAATAACATTTCCTTTATTTTGTAACATCATGTGTGATTGAGTACCCAATTTTCCCACTTGTCCAGATTTCCAGTGATACCCATTTGACCTTCAATATATATAAACAAAAGATAAAATGTAATTACTAAATGCATTTCTCCTTTTAATGAAAACAAATAGATTTTCCCTGCTTCCTCAAACAGAAATTCAGTTGCTAATATGTAACAAGCTACCACAAAATGAAAATGAAATATCAATATAGCCGCAATGTCCTCAGTTATTCTAAAATACAGCTCTTTTGAAACTTTTGGGACAAAACAAATAAAAGTGAATGTCCAAACACAGATGAAGATATCCAATGCATAGACATGTACAAAGATGTTAAGACAGCTTTACTGAATAATAATTGTTTTCTTACTTAATTTCTTGCAGTTTTAAAAGCTAAGGGTCTGGGGCCTCCCCGGTGGTGCAGCGGTTGAGCGCTGGGTTGCGAAGCTGCCTGCAGCCTCTGCAGCGCCGGTTCGATCCCCGGCTGCTCCCCGGCCACCGGAGGAAAGTCCCACATGGTGCGCAGACCTCTCCTGCTGCCCATGGCGTGCAGACCTCTCCTGCCGCCCGCTGCTCCCCTCAGCAGTGTACCTTGGTCCTTCTGCCTGCTCTGCTCCCCGCTCAGGCTCTGGTGAATTCTCTCACCCTCCCACGCTTCTGACTGTACCCAGTACTTGTATAAATAAATAAATAAATCTTAAAAAAAAAAAAAAAGCTAGGGGTCTGCAAATGTAAAGAGAAAGATGAGGAAATAAAAATCAAAAAATATTTTAAGCAGATTTACTAAGCGATGAAATCCTTATTAAGACTTCAGAGTAGCTTCCACATTGAAGGTGCAGAAATTGTAAAGAATGCAAACTGTTTGGTTTTACAGTTTTCAAAGCACCATTTTTTGGATCCCCACAAATTTTTTTAAGTCCACAAGGCAGGTAGTTCAATTCCTATTAAAATAATAAGACCAAATCTTGCTCAAAGTCACACAGACAATAAATAACAAAGTCAAGATTAGAGACTGGATTTCTCACTGACCAGGGAGTGGTAGTTTCTCATTCTGATTATGACATTTACTATCTATATGAATAGAAAAGTATTTGCTCTGAAAACTCAAACTTTAGAACATTTCTTAAAAACATGTGGGAAAGTTCCCTTAATTAAGGAAAATGCACTCTTGGAAGCTGACTTCATGAACCCTGTCTCCCAATGTACTCACAATTCATTGAGACATACAAACTATGTCCAGAGTAATGAAGGGTAAAACAAAAACTGGCCCTTGACTCACTAAAAGAAGCAGCAAGATACACAATAAACTGTCTCCTGGAACATTCATAACTCCGAAAATGCATTGATTGAACAATTTGCAGGTACATACCTATATGAGTCTTGCATATTTTTCAAACAGATTCTAAAAACAATGGCCACTGAAACTGTACTAAATGTTTGAATTCACATGTATGTTCCAGAAGACACTTAATAGGTGCTTGATCATCACTTTGAGCACCAAACAAAAACCAAACACAATATGCAAAGATTCTGGTATTACTTAGTGCCACTAAAAACACATGAAACATGCTGTTTCATTCTCTGTAAGCGAAGGTTATAAACACTTAAGCGAAGGTTTATTAGGAATACCATTTCTCCAATAGCTACCAATATATAAAATGCACATGTACTTTGACCTAAAATTACACAGATAAGAGTTCATCCCCCTGATAATCTTGCAACATTTAAGTGTGTGTGTGTACATATACAAATGTGTGTATGAATGTATTTGGAGAGAAATATATTCACGGTGGCAAATAAATAACATATAAAAATACTTAAAACTTAATAAATACTTAAATAATAAATACCATTATATTCCACAAAGAAATACTATATCACCACTAAAAAACTGAAGTCAATGAGTGCTGATATATAAAGAACACTGAGATGTATCAAGTAGAAAAGTACAATGTGATCAAATCATATATTTTTATAGGTAACCTCATTTGTAAAAATATGTCAGATACACACACACATAAATACACACACACGGCTTATACAATGATAAACTATTTGGCAGAAAAAAATTTAATTGTGCAGAGGTAGTGCTAAAAAATGGACTAGGAGTTACACTAGAGCTAAGAAGTGATTATTTTCACTGTTCTAATTCTTGTATATGGCTGCCCCCAAAATTCTTTTAATAAATAAAAACTAAACATAAATTGGCAATCTTATGAGCATGAAAGGCAAATTCTGTATTGTTGTCCTAAACCACCCAGACAATAAATGTTTCAGAAAAATAATGTGTAAAGAAAAATAAGAAAGGGCCTCCCCGGTGGCACAGCGGTTGAGCGCTGGCTTGCGAAGTTGCCCGTGGCCTCTGCGGCACCGGTTCGATCCCCGGCTGCTCCCCGGCCACCGGAGGAGGGTCCCGCATGGCGAGCAGACCCCTCCTGCCGCCCGCTGCTCCCCTCAGCAGTGTACTTCCATCCTTCTGCCTGCTCTGCTCCCCGCTCTGGCTCTGGTGAATTCTCTCACCCTCCCGCGCTTCTGACTATACCCAGTGCATGTACAAACAAACAAATAAATAAATAAATAAATAAATAAATAAATAAATAAAATACATGCCTCTTTAAAAAAAAAAAAAAATAAGAAAGTGTATGGCCAAATAAAGTTCAGAGGGAACAAGAGTAATGCAAAAAGCAACATACTTTACGTAAGAGACAGAAAACGTAGGAGACATTTAATATTGCTTATTCATCAAAAGAGGCCCTAGGTTATTCATTCAGGACCAGTCTTAGAAGGGCAATAATATGTATATAACAGTCCTTCTTAGTTTAATACCCTAAAATCATCTAAAAATGTCACCCACTGTCTTTCTTCTTTTTCTTTGCTCCTTGTTGATTGAAATTCTTGTAGTTTCTTTTCCAACTCTTGGTTCTCCAATTCTAATCGGACTTTCTCCGTTCTTAGTTCTTGAGCATTTCTGAGGAAATTAGATTTAAACACACAATATTCATTTAGGGCAAGCAAACACACATGGTAAGATAATTCGATACTTTCCACATGGTTTCCAGCATTTTAAGTATTTTCTTTGTACTTCTTTGAAGTATGGTCTCTTAATTAGCATTTGACTTCCTTTAATATCCTTCTTCAGCAAAGTACCTCTTCACATCTTAGATTTTTGCTTCCTATTACAATGCTAGATATTTAAAACAACTCACTTTATATAAATGTATGGTTTATATGCACAGGTATTTATTAAAAGTGATGTTAAAATAAGGGTCCTTTTCAGTATAGACAGAATTCACATTTTCACTGAAATGATCATTTTGGAAAGCTTCAATAATTTTTAACCTTCATGTCATGTATATATAATACAAAAAAAAATTTTAAAAAGCAAAGCCTGCTTGGGGCCTATTAGTGAGAAAGCACCTATTAAGGGCTTTCTTATAAGAGCCATCAAAAGGATTAAATGGGAACTGAAGCAAGCACCACCTATTGTTTTCCATGAAAGAAAGCAATAAGAAGAGAAGTTTTTGAGAAAAAAGCAGAGCCCTTTTTATGTGCAAAAGATTTTGATAATATCTGAAACTTACCAAGCTTTTGACAGTAGACACCTGCATTTTACAATTTTGCTCCTCTATCAACATTAGTCACTGACTTTTTCCCCAAGATCTAAGGCAACCTAGTTCTCTATCATTTATTATCTATCATGAGTCCAATCTCTTCTTTATTATATTAATACTTTACTATAATTAAGTAGCATAAGCACCCATGGCAAGCTGCCAATGGACATCAGAAATAGGCATTCATTTAAAGAGGTGGTAAATAATCACTGAAGAGCAAGTCTCCAATAACACACAATCCAAGAAGGTATATGGAAGGGATAAGAGGCCATGGTGGTCTAGAAGGTCTGGAGATGCTTGCAAAGATATTGAGGGAGAGGCATTATTTTCACTATATTCATTTAAAGAAGTATTTCAGCAACGTCTACATATAAGCACTGTAAAAGGTGTTAGAATATGAGATACAATGGAGCTCCCAGGACATAGAAGAACAAAGAGAAATATGAAAGTAATTGAAATATAGTGAGCTGATGCCCTCCCTGGAAAAATACCTGTGCACACAGAACTAAGACCAAGGGGCTGTAGGAAGAGTTCTAGAGAAAGGGAAGTCTCAGCCAAGAACTAAGAATGAAAAGTCTTAGCCAGTCAAAGGGAGATGGTAAAAGTTCTGTTCCAGGAAGAAAGAAAAGTGTGGGCACAAGTAGAAAAGAATGTTGCATAGGTCAAGAAATGAGAAGTTTCACATGACCAGGCATTAAATGCAGGATGAGAAAAGTGGCAAGAAATGTAACCAGTGAGGTGGACAGTTACCAAATCAGAAATAGCTGTGTAGGTCACAAAGAAGAATTGAGATTTGTATTCAATGAGCAATGGATATTGTTAAAAGGTTTTAAGAAAATTGATCAGACTAGCATTTTAAAAATATCACTCTAAGAGAAGATTAGAGGGTGCAAGACTGAAAGCAAGGCAATAAGTTGGGACACTGTTTCAGGAATACTAATAATAGAGAGATTATGTGGGTCTGACTGGCTAGAGATAGTGGAAAGAAAAAAAAATGGAGCATTTAGAAAATATTAGGAAATAAAATTAACCGAGCGTGGAGACTAGCCAGAAGAAGGTAACTGACGTAGGAAGGAGCAAAGAAGGAATAAGACAATATTCCTCAGTTTCCTCACTTAAGCAATGAGGACAGTGATACTGTTTCCTGAACTGGATTCATTTAGGGAGACTGGGCACAAAGTTCCAGGTCAGTTCCTGAGCTGTTCTCCCTGCACAAAATCTCAAGGGCTAGCAATACTTTCCACATGGTTTCCAGAAGAATAATTAAAAAATGTAATTGTGATTGTATCACAGATTTGCTTAGAAAACTGATAATGTTTCTGAAGTCCCCTTTATGGTAGAAAAAAAGGTGTGAAACTAAAGAATGGACTGTCCTGGTCACAAATGGCCAAGGTTATGGTGGAAATCTATGGGTCTTGAACAAAGGAAAGGATTCCTCCTGGAGATAGCCTTGAACCAGAGTCAGAAGGCAAGTAAAACCACTGAGGAAATCTAAGTTTGAACCTGCTGATACCACATCAACACAACATATCTAAAGATCAGAAACAAATCATTGAAACAGTTGGGGGCTGAGAAAGTAGAGAGGAGTTGGAGAACATTAAGATAATTGTGAAGACAACACCAAATGAAAAGAATTTTGGAATAAGGAAAGGGCAAGAAAGGGAACTCCAGCGCAATTACCATACAGTGGTTGTTCCAGCCTAGTTTTTTGGGTTGTGACTTATGGGTGGACAAGGTAAACACACAAGCTAGGGAACAGTGGTTACATCTCATCTCCAAGATAACTTCCAAACTCCTCAGTGTGGTATATAATATTATTTATTATCTATAAAAGCCTGTACTCTCCAGCTTTGTTCTATAAATCTTAGCCAACTGAATATGCCTAAAAGTAACCTGTACCTTTGCACAAGTTTCACCCAGTTACTATCAATCTTACTGCAATTCAAAGGCAAAGCTTGGAGACGTCCTCACACCTCTCCAAACATTTGGGTCATGGTCTCATAGCCCTTACACTTACATATCACCATGTCTCATGGTACTGTGAATTTCATTTACAATTATAATTCTACTTATTCACATCTTTGCAAACTACTTGAGGGCCCAGGCATAGAAGGTATACTTCCTGGGGAAGGCAAACTTAAAATGACATCCATTATCTATGCAACACGTGTCCTTGTAAACACATGTACAACACGTGTCCTTAATAAACTCGTGTCCTTAATAAGTATTTGTTGGGTGAATGATTATAGTTATAAGCACATAGACTTGAAATACATCACCAAAATAAAATAATGCATATACCCTTCACTTTTTTCCTTAAAAAGGGAAAATTGGTAATACTAGCATTGGATAGCTCCCTTTTCCATCAAAAAGTGGTAAACCTGGGGCCTCCCCTGGTGGTGCAGTGGTTGAGCGCTGGGCTGCGAGGCTGCCCGCAGCCTCTGCAGCGCTGGTTCTTTCCCCGGCCGCCAGCGAGGGTCCCACCAAAAAAAAAAAAAAAAAAAAAAAAAAGTGGAACCTAATAATGATAATGCCACATATTTGTATAACGTATTCCAATTAACACAATGCTTTTACAGACAGTATCTCAGAAGGAAAAGAAGATTTAGGAGAGATCTGAAGACATTGAAAAACCTCAGGACTATTGATCTCAATCAGGGAATTCAGAAACTAAAATTAAAAATCAACAGTCTGTCCCCAGCCCAGGCTGGCTGGTCTTCTGTCATATTTGAGAGGAAGACCTTGGAAATTTCCAGTCACTTTAAGATGATGTCATAGGAAAGCAGAATATTGAATCTCTGGTAACCCAGCTATATCATGAAATTCCCAGGATATCCAGAACTGCCTGGCTCTGGCTGAATGCAAGTCACAGGTATAGAAGGTATACTTCCTGGGAAAGGCAAACTTAAAATGACCCATTACCTATGCAAAGTGCTAGAATATTTAGCACTTTCTTTTTTAAAAAAAATGTATTTATTCATGCATACAAGAACCAGGGTACAGGCCAGATGTGTGGGAGGGTGACAGTATTCACCAGACACAGAGCAGGGAACAGAACAGGCAGGCTGACTGAAATACACTGCTGAGAGGAGCAGCGGGCGAGACAGGAGAGGTCTGCTGCACCATGTGGCTATCTACACCGCCAGCCGGGATTGAACCTGCACTGCAGAGGCTGTGGACAGCTTCACAGTGCTATGCTCAACAGCCTGTGCCACCAGGGAGGCCCTATTTAGCACTTTCTCTTTCATTTTAGTTTCTTTCAGTTTCTTCAGGATGATTTTTTTCTTTAATTTTGAATGTGACACAAAAATATTTGCAACTTTCTGACTTACGTTTCAATAGTCAATAAGCCTAACCTTTATAACATTTTAATTTTTATGGCATATTTTCAGTCCCCATTTTAAGCTATTATATATATATATAAATAATATATATTTATATATATAAATATATATTATATATATATTTCAAACTTCTGGGCCTCTCCTGGTGGCGCAGCGGTTGAGCTCTGGTCTGCGAAGCTGCCCGCAGCCTCTGCAGCACTGGTTCGATCCCTGGCTGCCTGCGAGGGTCCCACATAGCACGCAGGTCTCTCCTGCCACCTGCTGCTCCCCTCAGCAGTGTACTTTGGTCCTTCTGCCTATTCTGTTCCCTGCTCTGGTTCTGGTGAATTCTCTCACCCTCCCGTGCTTCTGACTATACCCAGTGCTTGTATAATAAATAAATCTTTAAAAAAAAAAAGATGTTAAAAAAATATTTCAAACTTCCATATAGATAAAAATACAGTAATATGAAGATAAAAGTTCAAATATTTTGAGTTCAACTTTAAATAGCCTCATGCAAAAATAAAAGCTTAAGTAACAATACATAAAAAGCTTTAGCAATTATTTGTATTTCAGTAATAAATGTATACTTACTTATATCTTAGTTTTACAGAATTTCCAGGTTTTCCCCATGGAAGAATGACAAAATCTTTTGTGTTCATGATTACCGCCTTAGTATGGTCTAAAAATTATTGTAATTTGTGAAAACTTCTGAAAAAAATAAAAAAGACAAAAGAACTATGTCAAAAGTAAAGCAATTAAATTACAAATTATGAACTGCATATAAATCAGAAAAAATTTAAAACCAGAAACCCTTATGAAGGTAAGGACTAAATAAAAAATTATTAAGCATTTAAATACATTAAAAGTCATACAATATTTATATACTAATAGAGTTATAAATACATCTCATGGAATCAAAATTTCAAAAATATTTATTAAAATATTGAATTAAAAAAAAGAATGCATTCAATAAAACAAAGCACATAATCCAATTCTTCATATGCCTTATGAAAGTATATATCAAGTATTTGTTTTTTATGTTGTTGTATATTATTTGCCCAAAAATAATATCCTGGGCCTCCCCAGTAGCGCAGCAGGTTGAGTGCAGCACTGTGAAGCTGTCTGCAGCCACTGAAGCACGGGTTCGATTCCCGGCCAGCCAGGGAGATACCCACATGGCCCGGCAGACCTTTCCTGCATCGCCCACTGCTACCCTCAGCAGTGTTTTTGGTCCGTCTGCCTGTTCTGCTCCCTGCTTTGTCTCTGATGAATTCTCTCACCCTCCTGCTCCTCTGGCCTATACCCTAGTTCTTGTATAAATAAAAATAAATCTTAAAGAAAACCCAAAAAACAAAAATAATATCCCAGGGTAAATAGAGTGAAATGAAAGACAGTTTAGCAATGCAATCCAAACTCAAAAACCTTGAATTTTTACATGAATGGTGACATAAAATAAGAATCAAGGAATAAAATAATTACCATAGGCTTTCTAATAATATCCCCATTTAATCAAAGAATATTTCAATAATCTTCTCTACCAAAGATCAGAAATTAGCATATTTTAGAACAATAAATGGAACAAGACAGATTTTCTGCTTAACCTCAAGTTTACCCCAAAATACTTGGAACATCATATTTCCAAATAGTTACTCATATAACTATTTGAATTATTGAATCATATGCACAACTATTAGATTTTATTTTATGAACAAAATTTTTCAATTGCAAACACTTTTACAGAAATATGAGATGATAGGGCCTCCCTGGTGGCACAGGGGTTAAAGTCTCAGCTCTATCAAACTGTCACCAGCCACTGTGGCATGAGTTGATCCCCAGCCATGTAGCTAACCCACATGGTGCAGCAGACCTTTTCTATCTCGCTTGCTGCTCCCCTCAGCAGTATATTTCATTAGATCCACCTGTTCTGCTCCCCACTCTGTCTCTGGCGAATCCTCGCAGCCCCTCCCCACTTCTGGCCTACATCCCAGCTCTTGTATGCATAAATAAATAAAAAGAAATATTTAAAAGAAAAAGAAATATGAGGCACTATCATAGTGCTCATTGTTTTAAATGCCCAAATCACTTGTTACAATTGGTTTATATGTGTTTCCTATGTGATCATAACACCAATAAGTGTTTATTAAGTTTCTACTTTATGTAAGTCACTGTACTGAGAGGCATGAAGGAGTTGAGGCCCAGAAAGATTTGTTTGTTGAAAGTGAGATAGGTGGGCCTCCCTGGTGGCGCAGCGGTTGAGCGCTGGGTTGCGAAGTTGCCCGCAGCCTCTGCGGTGCCGGTTCGATCCCCAGCTGCTCCCCAGCCACCCAAGGAAGGTCCCACATGGCTCTCAGACCTCTCCTGCCGCACGCTGCTCCCCTCAGCAGTGTACTTCGGTCCTTCTGCCTGCTCTGCTCCCCGCTCTGGCTCTGGTGAATTCTCTCACCCTCCCGCGCTTCTGACTGTACCCAGTGCTTGTATGCATGTATGTATGTATGTATAAATAAATAAATAAATAAATCTTAAAAAAAAAAAGAAAGTGAGTTAGGGCATATAAAACTATATATAATGTAGAGATTAGAAGTCTGACAATCGCTTGAGCTAAAGCTGACCCAGGGACTTTATATAATTCCATAAAACAAAGTAGAAATTGCAAGGATAATAAGACTTACAATAAGTGAGAACAAGGGCAGTGTTCAAGCTGGCTAGTATTTAAGTGGGACTGTAAGGAGAAGGGAGACACCTATATTAAGACTTGGATTGAAGTAATGTTTTACAGTGTGGGAAAGAACAGCTCTTAAATAGTAACTAATGCTTGGTTCAATTTGGTTAATGTGCAGGCTACATGGAAGGGAAAATAGGCTTAAGTTTGGAAATATATATATATGAATAAATGGTGGCCATGTTTAAATGCCATGTTAAAGCGCTTGGAATTTATTCTGCAGTTAATGAGAATCACTGAAAGTTTTACAGAGAAGCACAGAAAATAAGACTTGAAAGTTTGCTCAAAGTTTTAAGGAGAGAAGTACCAAAATCGGAAGAACCAAATGTAAGACTATTGTGACATCTAAGTCCTCACAATCAAATGAGTAGTTCAATGTTGTTCCCTTGGGAGGCTATCTCATAATTTCAATATGCAACCTCTGATCAAAACATTTTTGGACTGACTCTTTTGAATTTCTATTCAGGATCTATAATACACCAAATAAAAACACAAATATATTTTATTGTGCCTCATTTAAAACTAAAAATGATCTTGTCCAACAGAAGGCACTACTCCATTCACTCAAATCTAATTTCAATTTACCTGACCACCTTCAAATATCAATTCTAGCATGAACGGGTAGATTTTTACTACATTGAGGAAATCTGAAGGAATTTATTCTCTGAAGATAATTTCAAGAAGGAATCATAGAAAATAAATTTATTGTAAGTAATATGGTGGTTGCATCACAGCATTAAGTAAATTTGTGCCTCAATCAACAAAGATTTATCTAGCTGTGACTTTGTGTTCCCATTACTGGTCATAGTGACAAATGTCTTCCCTCAAAGAGTACACAGTCAAAGGGAAAGTGACACAAACAATGACAATAACATGGGACATGATCACAGAAGGAAGCACTTAAATAGATGACTAATTCCGGCTCATATCTCAGCCACAAATCTGGCCTCTCAAAGCTAAAATATTTGTCAGTGGGAAATAAAGCTATCACAGCAGTGGGAAACCAATATGTGGTTTGCTTTTTGGGGAGAGAAGTTGCATCTTCTATCTCCTCTCTGTAGGTAAAAGTTTTGTCTTATTTTATCAAGCAATGCTACAAAAACTATCTTTGAAAATCATCCAGGAATAATCTTACCTAATCAGATAGTCTCCTTATTTGATCATAATCACAAATCCAACTGTCTACTTTTCCACCTTGTCTACTCTTGATATTTTTTCATGAAAATTTCCATAATTTTATCATAATCACCACCATTAAAAAATAATCCCCAAAGTTAATATATCTGATTAAAATAATTTAAACCATCTTAATTTCATTTATGCATTGAAATACACAACAGTATTTGTGTGTGTGCGTAGGTATAAAGCTGAATTGATACACAATTGATAGCAATGAATGAAAGAAAATTATGTAAACTTCATTAGGATGAGATGTTTCAGATTTATAGCTCTGCTGATCATATGACTTGCTCAATAGATTGGTCTTATTTGGGGGCATTTAACGTCACTGAATGCAATTAATAAGACTTCTTCTCAATTAACTGTTTTATTAAGTCACACACAGAAGTCAATTTTCCCACACGAAGAAAAAAAGGAAGATTGTAATTGTGAGTCATGCTGTTCTGCCTATTTCCTTTTGTAAAACCAACAGAGAATTAGTCACCTTTCTGGGGATAACAAGGATATAACAGTGTGTTCTGCAACCATCGCAGGCCAGGTAGGTTCATCATCAATTCAGGAAGCTTGAAAGAGAATCTTGGAGCCCTTGGCACCATTCTCACAGGTTAGGACAAACAAGTCAGGAGGGAGATAGCAACTTGGGTCCCACTTTGAATCCCTATAAACTCTTTCCTCTCTTAGCACATCTCTGACACTCTCCACTGCTCTCAGCCGCAGGGTCCTCTGCTGCCCTGTCCTTACATGCTCCATCTGTTGGCTTGGGTGTGCCCACGCACACACTCACACACCACACTCCAGGCGCCGCCATCAGGCACGCACACGTAAGACCACAGGTGTCGATCATTGATGCTAATGGAGGGAGGGAAGAAAAATATCTAATAACTTCCATTTACCCTACAAGTGGGCTAAACTATTTTCGGCTAGCACAGGTCCTGAATGTAAATCAGAAACTGAACTGCAAGTTGTATTCAGTCTTCCCACCAACCAAGATATCTGATAATTAAACATTACTTCAAGGCGGGCCTCCCTAGTGGCACAAGGATTTGAGCACAGCTCTGTGAAGCTGTCTGCAGCCTCTGTAGTGCTGGTTCAATCCCCGCCATCAGTGGAGGAATCCACATGACATGGCAGACCTCTCCTGTCTCGCCCGCTGCTCCCCTCAGCAGTGTATTTCGTCAGTCTGCCTGTTCTGTTCCCTGCTCTGTCTCTGGTGAACCCTCTCAACCCCTACCATCCTCCCTCCCCACCCCCACCCGCATATCTGGCCTATACTCTGGTTCTTGTATAAATAAATAAATCTTCTGTAGGGTAAGTGAAAAAGTATCAGGCTTGTCTACTCTCCCACCATTAGCATTAATGGTGGATCCCTGCAGTCCTACATGCATGCCTGATGGTGGACACACTGGGCTGTGACTGGGCTTATAAGGGCAGCACCATGAGGATACAGCAGACAAGAATGAGATAGAAAGAGCAAAAGAACCAGAGCAGCAGAGAATGAGAGAACACCAGAGAGCCCAGCAAGAGTGAAGACTTGCTGGGGGATGGGAGGCCTGCCAGCCTCCTCCTCCCCTGAACCCTTGCCTGCCATGTCCCTGGTAAAAGCTCAATAAAAGCCTGAAAAAACACCAAGGGCCCCCCTGCCTGGCCTGTGCCTGCTTCCTTACAGGCCTTCCTGCCTGCAGTGCCTGTGTACCTGGTTCCCTGAGAGAGCATTAAAAGCCTTTAAAAATCCACTGAGGGCTCCAGGATCCCTCTACCCATCCGCCCAAATTGACAGTGAACCTGCCTTGTGCATGCTTTCTCTCAAATAGCCTTAAAGAAATTGAAGACCCTCCTTTACCCATCTTCTCAGATCATAGAGCTCCTGCACTGTGCCCTTCCTGCCTCTACGGCAATAAATGGTATTCAAATCACCCATTCTTTTTACTTTCTGTGTTCAGGTTCCCTGGAGAACTGGGGAAAAAAAAAAAAAAAAAGGTTGTCTTTTGATATAAAGGTCCAAGAAAACCTTTTCTAAAATAATTTGCAGCCAAAAATAAGACATTGGGTGTAAGGTCAGTCAATGTCATCCAACTTTATGTGTGAGTGATCCCTAAGCTTCAGTCTATCCATATATAAAACAACAAATCCCACCCCCACACACATACACCACCACACACACACCTACTTTGCAGGATATAGAACAAAAGATCTCTGATTTGTAACCTGTAAAGCAGTAGCCTCCCAGAAAATCCCCAGGGATCTTGTGGTTCAGGGAACTGGGTAGCTTTTAAAACGACATCAGGAAGGGAACGAATGGAGCAATAAGACAGCTTTATCTCTCTGATTTAATCTATTTTTCTCTGGGTCAGACCTAATATAAAGAAACTCTTTCACAGCTGTTTGGTAAATGCTCAGGCTATTTTTTACACCCTCCTGCTGCTAGTGTGGACACCTGGCCTGGAGGCTGGGTGTGAGGCACTCACGCCTTTGATGGTGGACACCTGGGCCCAGATAGCATGGGGCGCACATGTGTAACTTAGAGCACCTGTGCAGAGAGGCCAGGGATGTAACTTCTCTCTGAGACAGCACTACTGCTGTAGAGGCCAGAGAAAGAGCACAAAGGTCTGTAGGGGGCTAGAATGCTGGGTTGCCTGCCTGCCTCCCAGCCCCCCTGCCTGGCCTGTGCCTGCTTCCTTACAGGCCTTCCTGCCTGCAGTGCCTGTGTACCTGGTTCCCTGAGAGAGCATTAAAGGCCTTTAAAAATCCACTGAGGGCTCCAAGATCCCTCTACCCATCTGCCCAAATCAACAGTGAACCTGCCCTGTGCGTGCTTGCACTAGAATAGCATTAAAAGAAATTGAAAGGCACAACAGTATAGAAATATTAAATTATTATTAATTGTGTCTCAACAAAAAATCTTATCATTACAAATAATGAAAACATTAAATTTATAAATCATACCTTTCAGAAAAAAAAAGTCCTTTCAATATTTTTGTATTTTATTTACCCAACTCTTTCTCAAAAATTCAACTATTGTCCTAGTTGCACTCTCATGAATAATCTAGGCATGGGAAAATTGAGACACCTGTCCCAGAAACTACAATTTTATCCCCAGTTTCCTTGTGTCTCTTAAAATTTAAATATTGTCCACATACTTACAATGATTATTTCATATCAGATTATTCCCCCTTTTCAGATTCACCACCCCTTTAATGCTCTTATCTTGTCATACAAAGGAAATTTAGAAAAAGACCTATTTGACATCATAGTTTTTCTGAGTTTTACAACAATTGTCACACATCAGTGTGGGTATCAGAATGTTTCCTTGTAATGTAAGGTCACAAATATTTGTCTCTAAGTAGTTCATCATCCCAAAAAGAAAGAAAAAAAAAAAAAACAGCTACTCTGCTTGGTATCTAAGGTACTCCATTATGCATTTTAATCTTCTCAAGCCTTATGTTTTATTTTCCGCTTCTCTGATCACCAAGATTTTGCTTCTGTTTAATACCTGCTTTGAAGGCCACCTGTATCATGATTTACTCCACCAAAAAAGAACTTCTCCTCCTATAAGAACATGGTGTATAATCCACTAATTCGCTACTACATGCTGCCTTGTGTTACTTTGTGCTGCCTGTTTTCACATGTGTGGTTTCCCCAAGTATCCCAAGTATTTGAGGGCATTTTTGCCATTGATCTTTGAATCTCCTGCAATTAGTAGAGTAGCTACACAGTATGCTATCAATAATGATGTGCTAACTATTTGATTTCTTTCTACCACTTAGAATTTATTGCACAATCAATAATAAAACAAACACATTGTTTCCCACATCAACACATCTTTCTGTTTTTTTCCATATCTCCTACCAGACACGGATTAGCATTCAACAGAAACACAGCAATCACCTTTTCTGTGCCATATATCAGGTCAAGAGCCCTAAGGAACCAGATGAACCAAATAGATGCTCACTAAACTTACACTCCAGTAAAGGAAGAAAAAATTAAGAATCAAATAATAGCAAGAAGTATTGTCTTGTAAAATAAAAAAAAAATGAGCTTTCAATTAATTCACATGTAACAGAACTGAGAAGATTATGGGTAGTCAAGGCAGGTCTCTGTGTAGCTTAGTAGGTGTGAAATAGAGATAGAAGTGTGTTTTTTTTTTTCATTTTCCACAAGCATACAGTTTGCATAGTTCTAATTTAATGTAGCTTCAATTTTATACTTTTTTGTCTTGCTAACTTTGGGTTTAAAGTCAAGTTATTAAAAACGACATAACTGAACCTACATATCTGAACACTTGTAATAATGATTTGGAAAAAAAGAAAAAAACTTCCACAGCTTCATATTCTCACGAATCTGATGTGTCACCATGACCTTTACTTGGGTGGGTGGACTTCAAGAATGGAGAGGGCTTATGTGACCGCCCAGGCAGAAAGGAGACTGCAAAAGTAGATGTGATACAGTTGTCAAGGCATCAAATTTTTCATAAGGCGCAAATGACTTCAAAGGATGAAAGAGGCTAGCATTTCAAAAGGCCGAGCTGTAGAAAACATACAACTAACCAAGGCTGGGGTTTCACTCTCTGGGATTCAGCCTTGGTTCATGTCTACATTAGCATCATGGGTTAGGAAGTCTTTTGTTTATAGAAAAGAAGAATTTCAACTCCAGATGTCAAGGCCATGTCTTGCATCCCAAGGGCCCAGTCGAAAATTTAGTAAAACACCTGCTAGGCCTGCACCTCCAGCTCCACCCAGAGCTGAGTCTCTTTTCTTCAAGGTCCCCAAGGGCTCCCTGCGCCGTCCAGACACAGGGCTCAGCCCAGCTAAAGCCAGCACCAAAGCTTAAGGCCCACAACCTCCATCAGCAACCAGCCCACCCGTAACTAGCCCACTCACCTGGAGACCCCACAGGTCAGCGTCACAGCCACCGGCAGCTGTTAGCTGCCCAGAGCGTCCTTCTTCGTCTCCTTGGTTACCGCGTTACTTCCGTACCCATAGCAACCACAAGGCCAGGTCCTGCCGCGCTCCTCCTGCAGAGGGAGCAAGCATGCACTGCAGAAAGAGATAGCGACTGCTCAGGAAGGAAAGGCCAGAATAACTCAGCAGGACTTGAAGGCTTTCTGCTGGAGGAGGTATTGGAGATTACGGGCTGGCTATTACTTACTGAATCCCTACCAAATCCAGGCACTATTGCAAATATTTTATTTGTAATATTTAATTCATATTCGTAACAGCCCAATTTATAAGCTGAGAAAATTTAGGCACAGAAAAGTTCGAATAATAGCCCCAAATTGCAAAGCAAGCAAATGACAGACCCATGAACAATCACCCCAAGCAGTGCAGAACCCCCACATATATGCTCTGTTTTGCTTATCAAAGGTAACAACACACAAGGTCAAGACTAGAATTCAGATCTCTCTTTATATCAAAAACATGATTCATGGATGTATGTGAGTCTAATGTATATAATGAAACCATACTTATGAAACTTTTCTGTTGTAGAGGGAGTTACTTGTGGTGAACTTATTTTTGGCTTTCCAAATATGCTATATTTTTATCTCCCTTTCTTATATTTAGCAAATAGGATCGTGTCTATTTCTAGTGAGTCAGGCTAAAAAAAAGCCCTGTGCTTACCTGTAACTGGTGGCTGAAGCCAAAAGACTGTTACAGGTGGTGCCCCCGGAGGGGGTTGCTGGTAAAGATAGCTAGCCCCATGAAAAATGCTAAAAAGTGGAGTGGAGCTACTGATAAGTAATTTAAGGTACTGCAGAAGGGATGCAGATTCACGCAGTCTTCATGATTCAGTCAGAATTTCAGCCGTTTTAGGATCATTTGGGGTCAGGGGATTTTGGCCCCCACCATGCCAATCTTCCAGTAGGCTGTTGTGGGTCTCTGAAGGTGGAGGCCTCCAGCAGGCAATCTCAGAGAGAAAAATTTGGAGGCTTTGTAAATAGCTGAGCTACTGAAACTGTTCCTGGGTTTGCTGTGGTCACGCTGAGGTAACAGCCTGGCAGAGAAGCAGGAAGGCCCCAGAGCTTGTGCCTTGCTGAGCTGTGTGAGTCGGGCAGTTTATCTAGTCCTTTGAGACTTGGTCCTGCTGCAACTCACCCCAGTATGCCTGCTTTGTACTTGGGTGAGTTGCTTAGTCCACACATGGTGTAAAGGAAACAATGTATATTAAGTTTCTATTACTAAGTCAGCTGCAGCTTCTATCTTGAATGTCTCTTATCTGGTGCTGCGCTGGGGCATCTCCACAGCTCAAGGAGATTGTGTCTTCTGTTGTCTTTGTGAGTTGGAACCTGGCCTGCATTCTGGCTGCCATGTGTCCACAGTAGCAGGAAGACACCATTTTAACTGTTTTTATACAGGACTGGAAAACACTGGACACTGCTTCAGTTGAGGTAAACAGCCATTTTTTTTGGCTCAGTAACTCTTTTTTTTCCCCCACTTTGTTAAATAAATCCCTTTGTTGTTGTTCTCTGAGCGTAAGTAGTCTTAGAATTGTTCACACAGGTGAAGAAATAAGATAGTGACCAGTAAACTATTTGGGCAGAGTCCTTGGCCAGTTTTAGTGCCCCATGCTGCCTTTGCAGCATACCCACATTGAATCCATCTGATTACTGGACTATAAATACTTAGCTCAACTACTAAAAGATACTAATTTTTTCACCATTGCTTTCCATATTGATGTGCCTATGGTTATTGAAGAACATATTTACTATTTTCCCTTTTCAGGTTTAACTATAATATTATAACCAGATGGGTAAGAAAAGGCAATGACGGTCATTTGGCTCCAACTCTGGGACTTGAAAATAAAGCAAACCTGAGTTTGAGACTTGGTCCTGCTGCAACTCACCTGCTCTGTACTTGGGTGAGTTGCTTAGTCCATACATGGCATAGTTTAGAATAAAGGAAACAATGTACATTAAGTTTCTAATATTAAACCAGAACCATAGCAGATATTTAATAACAAATACAAAATGGTGAGGATGGGGCATAGGTAGTTATTTTAGTGCTGATGGTAAACTTCAACAAACTTCTTTCAAATGTAATAAGTGACAAGTTTCAAATGCATGTGTAATACTAATAAAAATATTTGTGTTCAGGACTGTGTTTCTTGAAAGGTATATATATGCTCTGCAAATTACCAGGGAAGCATTTTCATCCTATCAGTCTTTATTCAACAACAATTTGTTAAAAATCCACTGTGCTAGCTCATGAAAATACTGCAGGGAAGAAAAACAAAGCCTTTCTTATGGCGATAGTCACATTTCAAGGGGGACAGAAAGATAATAAACAAATAAATAAATAAATATGTCTGGTGCTTTGAAGAAAAAAAAAAAAACCTAAAATAAAGAAAGAAAAAAAAATGGGTTCTTTGAATGCAGAGAAGATATCAGGCAGTCAAAACAAGGAACATTCCAGGGAGAGGAAACAATAAACAAACTTTGATTCTGACCCTTAAAAAGAGCAGCGTTTTGCATATAACTTCTGAGTACTTCTGCAAAGCTTTTTTTAATTTCAAAAATGTTTTCTTTCACACATTTACTGATGCAAGAGTAAAATTAAACTCATAAAAATAATGTATAAAATATTCTGGCACATTTCAAGAGTACTAAAAGATATGATCCTACTTATATTTAGGAAATTAGCCTAGTTTATGCACAGACATGCAAAAAGTAATCCAAAAAGTAAGCTCATGTCAACTTACATAGTAAAATGAAAAAGTTGAAGTACTTGTCTTTCAGAACCATGATTAGTGACAAAGCGGTATGAAACATGAGAAAATAATGACACCTCTAGAGATATAATATCCTCTCTCCTGAAGCAGAGTGCCTTTTACTGACACACCAGCAATTCTGAAAATAGTTTACCATGTCTATATCAGGAGCACAGTATTCCTGAGGGTTTTTACAAATTCATGCTTCGTTGTGCTGTTCTGAAGACAAGATTTGATCCTAAGTTTTCTGAAGTAAAGATATTCAATTTGAAGAGGTAAAAATTATTCACAATAAAGAAATTGGAAGCACATACTGAATTCCAAGGATAGCTGCAAGGTCATGCATAAAAAGTGCCTCATAAACACACACACACACACACACATTTTTCTACTGAGCAATCCCAATGCATTAGTAACCATATGTTGTACTTGATAGGTCACTGCTTAGAGGAAAATTGTGACAGGACTCAGGAATTTCTGGTCACTCACTAGTAATAAACATTTTTAGATAAGTAATAAAAATGTACAGTCCCACATAATTGTCAGAACTCTGCATGTGATTTAGCATTATTTTTTCCCCTTTTTATGTAGTTGAACTTGCTGAATGCAGGGAAGCCCGAACTTAAGGCTGGGTCCTTATTATCCATTCTTGCTTCTGTCTTATTAATTGTCTGTATTATGGTCACAAGAAATGATAAGGATCAAAGGAGAAAAGTCCTACTTTAACTGGTGATGAGACTGCCTGGTGTTTACTGCAAAGCACCTGCCTCTCCATCCACTGGGACCTCTCCCTACATTCCTCTGGGGCAGGTGATACACACAGACCTTTGCTTACTGAACTAACTAGTCACAATTCCTGTCAAGGGGTCTCAATGATCCACCTGGACAGCATTTCTTTTTTTTTTTTTTTAAGATTTATTTATGCATGCAAGAACTAGAGTACAGGGCAGAGGTGTAGGAGATAAGAGGATTCACCAGAGACAGAGTGGGGAACAGAACAGGCAGAATGACTGAATACACTGCTGAGGGGAGCAGCTGGTGAGACAGGAGAGGTCTGCTGCGCCATGGGGGTATCTCCCTGGCCAGGGATTGAACTTGTGCTGCAGTGGCTGTGAATAGCTTCATAGGTTGCATCTTAACCCCTTGTGTTACCAGGGAAGCCCCTGGACAGCATTTCTAATGACCCAATTTCTTATATTTTTGCATGCTCGGTATATGGCCTAGAGAAAATTCTCTCACATGCTTTACCCTGTCACATTGTAGGAGTACAGAGCATGCAAAATACTCATTTCTCTTTTGCTCACACACTATCAACCAACCAGCCTAACACTTCCACCTCTGACTCCTCAAATGGGAGTCAAAAACCCAGCCCACTAAGTCACCAGCTGCAGGGACTTATTGATGCATGTTTTAGCAGGCTTGAAATAAATGTCAGGGACTATTGACAAACTTATTCAAAACCTGAAAATAAGATAAAAGAATATATATATATATATATATATATATATATATGTATGTATGTATTCCAGGTCCTATTAGAATACTAAGAGTACACTCGAAGATTATCTTGTTCTATAAGGAAATATACCATTGCATGATTATCATCTATGATTCATAATGTTCTTATTCTATAAATTACATGTAAATTTATGCTTTTTAAATCAATATCTTTCATATTGTTTGCATCTATATATGCAAATGAGTCTATCCTTTAGACAAAGTAATTTCAAAGGTATGGTTTTATTGCCTTGTAGTACAATAATCAATTTGCATCTAATCTAGAAATCTTATGTCAATAATTTCTGTCAATGTCTATATATAGTAAATCTGTCAAAATTTTTGAACCAGCTTTACCATTATGGTGGTTCCTTCCTTAATGAATTAAATAAAAGGTGAAATGTGTACATTTTATACTTATATAATATTATGTTCTAACTATTGAAATTATATTTTTATCATAGCTAATCTTAACTTTAAAGGGAGATGGAACACTTAGTCTCTTCCAATCTCTACTCCACTTATTGGTCCTTTAAATTCTTTGATAGGCAGAAGTTGGTAGTCAGTTTAAGGTTGTAAAATGTGTTTCCTATCATTTTTTTTTTTCACAAGTCCTTTTCACCCGCTTTCTTCATGTCTGGGCAGACACTGAATATAACATCCTATTACATATGTATGGGATTTTTCAAATTGTCAAGGATAGCTGAGCTTTAGAGGCAATATAAAATTACCAAAATACTTCTTAAAAAACCTAAATTAGTATACATAAATATATATAAATGCACCTGAAAGGTTAAAATTAAAGAAGGAAAAAAGAAGAGATTGTAGTTAGGAGGTGACATTGTCCTTTTATAATTCTTTTAGGCATTGTAATTTGCGGCTGACAGCAAAGACACAGAATTCTTCAGCAAATAAATTTCCATAACACAAGACAATTATTACTGATGTTTCACAAGTGGAGAAAAATCATCAAAGCATAAGATAAATTTCTTCTTTTTGCAATGTGTAGTTCTTTCCCAATTGAAAAGTAAATGTCTAGGCTTGTTGAATGAACATAGCTTCATTTAATAGCATTTATTCAACACCTGCTCAATTGAAGGCACAACCCTAAAATACATAGAAAGGTGAAAAAAGACTGCTTCTCTGTTCTTCTCTATTGAGGAAAATGAGAGTTTACAAATAATCAATATGTAATGTATAAAGTACTGTAGTCAGAATATAGGAATATGGTATCATGGTGGTTGACCAGAATCCCTGGGTGGTTTAAACATAGTATATGTGGCAGGAAGATAACTATGAACAGCTGTACTGTGGTGAAATTATAAAGCATATCAAATTTATTTATTTATTTTTTTACATTTTCCACTTTTTATTAAATATTTTAAAAATTATTAACTTTAAATTTTACTATCTTTTAACAATATTTAGAATTTCAAATCATGTTTAAAACTCACCTTAAACTTGAATTTCAATAAATTATATCATTGAATTATTATTAACTATCACCAACGTGACAAGGATATTAGTCCATAAATTTTGACAAATGTGTCTATGTTGATAAATTAAGTTAAATCTAACATTATCTTCCATTTTCTCTGCTTTGCCTCTCAATATCACCCTCCCACATTTTGGGTTTTTGAAGAAATAATTTGGCAAAGTCTTGCTAATACCTTAGTGTTAGACAAATTCTTCTCAATTAAAACTATGCAGTTGTCCTTCAGGTGCAATCTCAAACATCTGTGTGGTGATGAATCTAGAAACAATGAAGATGAGTAGGGATGCCTCATGATATAGATGCATGCAAAAAAGACTCACTTGCAAAATACATACAGGACATTTAACCAATAGATGGCTTTTCATTTTGTATAGGAAAGAAAAGGCTTTTTGGCTGGTAAGAAGTACTCAGCCAAAAAGCACATCAAATTTAAAAGACATTGCCCTGTTCACAATAGAAACTCCCAAGATGTTTTTAAGTTAGAAATATCATCTCAGTATATTTATAACAGTATCTCTCAAAGATAATTCTGATTGTATTCTGAAGATAGAGCAAAAAGAAAAGATGGAGACAAAGGGACAAGTTTGAAATATGGCTATATTACTCCCAAATAAAATGATAACATTGGAATAAATCAATGCAGAGAGCACAAAGCAAGTAAAAAATATATATAGTCTCAAGAGGATTTAGTAAACTCCAAACAACACTTGTACACTGAATACATGTGGTTGGCAAAGAGCAGAATATAGTCTGCAGAAATTAAGAGCAAAGAAGTAGCACAACTCTTAATTCAGTTTTGAGCTTTTACATTTGGAATATCTATACAAAGTAAAACAACAATTAAAATACATGTCTAAGTTTGTGATTTTATATATAGACATATATTTTATATATAGACCTATATTTCACAAACCTAGACCTATATTTTATATATAGGTATATATTAGGATATACACACACACACACACACACACACACACACACATATTAGGATGTCATCAACAAATATAGGGTAATCAAAACTAAAGGAAAAGTTGAAAATGTGAGGAGAGACTTCAAAAAAAATATGGAGCAGATGGCTTTGATAAAATATTAACCCAATAATCCTAAAATAGACCAGCCTGAGAGCTATAGTTGGGCCTTTTTTTCCATCAGTATTTATTAAAGGGTCCGCACAAATGAGTCTGAAGATCTTGATGAATTATTAAAGTTATCTTCAGTCATTCTTAGTGTCTTTCATATCTTTACTGTAGTGAATCATGCACTACACTCAGTGATTAAAAAATGAGAAGAATTAACATTGGTCCTTAAAAGGTATGCTTCCAATTTCAATACAACTACATATAAATCATGCAAAAAGCTCAAGGGTAGGTGTAGTACTCACTTAATAAGGTCTTTTAAAAGACATTTTATTCATTTTTACTACACCCTCTAATTTAATGAAGTTAGTGTTTGGGTTCCATCCAAGGATTGATAAACAATCACAGTGGGCAGTGTAATATGCCCCTCCATCCCATGTCTTTGCCTGACAGCAATCTGTGAGTCTGAGCAGTCTTGTTTTCCTTTGTGACCCCACTTACATTTGTAATAATTTATCAGACAGGAATTCAAAATGAACCAAAATCTCACTTATGACAATATGGAGTTAAGACTGAAAGAGAGTAAGAGAGATTTTTGGGTTAGCAATATCCTGCCCTGTGTACCATGGAAGAGAAGAAAGGAATAATGAAAAACAAAATTGAAAGAGGGGGTGGGATTTTCTGGAAAGTTTTCCTTTGGTGAGGACTAGCTATAGCCTTGCCCATGGATTCCATGATATATATCTGTATCCTTAAAATGAATCCTCCTTTGTTATTTAAACTTTTTATTTGTGCAGAACAAAAGAACCTTGACTACGAGGACTGCCAGACTTGCAACATAAAGTAACTTTCTTTATAAGGAAAGTCCAAAGTATAGATTCCAGACAATTTTTTAAAACAACAGAGCATTAATCAATGTCTCCCATAATTTTAAATTCATGTTCCTACATAGGCAGAAAAGTCATCTGGTGCTCTTTTGAAGTCATTTCCTAAAAAAAAAAAAGCAAAATCTCTTATTTATTTTTTAATCAGTTTAATTTCCTGCTTTATTTGCTTTAAGTTTAGTTGTGCCAGTTTTGCTAGCAGACGATTATTTATAATTGATGTAGCTTTAGGGAAAAGCTAATCTTAAAAAGAGAAAAGCTGGCATTTCAGTGAGAAAGTCATTTATTTTTGATCCTTGCCAAGTTTTAATAAGTGTAGCCTACTGTCTTCTTGAGATTTATGCACTGTTAGCTGTACTTCATTTGGAAAATTTGCATTTTTCTTGTATGCACTTAAGCTGGGAGGCACAAAATAAGAGTTACAAGGTTTGTTTGACATGAGATGTCTAACAGTAATTTTCTTTCATCAACTTTATTCTCCTACAGTTCTGATCCCCAAGGGCAGATTTTTTATCATATTTTGTGAAACATTTTATAACAGCCTTGCCTTTACAGAAATTATTCCTAAAACATTCCAAGGAAGCTGTCACAACTCTACAATATAAAATAAACTAACATTCAGCAACTATTTATTGAGGACCTACTACGTTGCAAACACTTTGATAGATAATGTTACAAGCATGAACAAGAAAGATTTGTACCATGTCCTTGTGGAAAATAAAAATAGACTACAATGGGAGAATTCAGAAAAACTATTAAACCTATGTGTGAACATGTTATTATAAGAGCATAACGGAAGAATACTAACCCAACAACAGGGGCTCAAGAAGAACTTCTCAGTATAAGTGATGCCCTATCTAGATTTGGCTGAGATGGTTCAGTAGGAGCTCCAGATTGGGGAGTGAGTGAAATTAGGAAGTGCTCTGGGTAAAATTAAAAAAAAAAGTATATTTATTTTTCCCCACATTAAATAGAAATAAGTTTAGAGAATTAAAACTTCCCAGCATTACTGAAACACTAAAGGGGGTGAGAAGTGGAGAAGTGGGGAGAAAAGAAATGGCAGTCATACGTGTCTGGCAGAGGGCAGATTAATTGAGAGAACATTGCAACAGTGGATCCTAGTAACTAAGACAAAATAGTGAAAGTAAACCTAGAAGAAAGTGAAAATATCTAATACTTATATCAAAAAAAATTATCAGTAGACTTGGAATTTATTAGATAAGAGTCTTAGAAATGAAAGATAATATCCCCAGTATTCATGAGACTAAAAATAGTGCAAACTTATGCAAATTATTCTAAATTAGGGAACATTCATCTAGTCATTTAACACATATCACTGAGTATCACTAAGTATTTACTATATGACAGGTACAGTTTGGGGATAGACCATTGAATGAAGCAGAACAGGTTTTTTGTTCTTAATTGGGTTTATCTTTTTTTTTTTTTTTTTTTTGAAAAGAAAAATATGATATGCACAAAAGCTAGTTTGGGTTTACCCCATACAGAGAGTAAAAAAAGTCAACAGAAAAGGTAATTTCCTGTGGTGGGATCTTAACACAGTTGGATAATCAGAATAAAATGCTCTCTGAGGAAATGACCATTGCAATGAATCCCTGATAGATATAGAGTCATAGGAAGATCTGGAATATTTCTGGAAGAATATTGTATCCTGAGGTAGAAAGGATAAAATTATGGTTTAAATGTTGCAAATGAGGAGGAAGAATTTGAGATAAGACTACATGGAGAGACAGGCAGGAAGAAGAGAAAGGCCAGTGGTTACATTCCAATTAACAGAAGAAGAGGGCCTCCCCTGGTGGCGCAGCGGTTGAGCGCTGGGCTGCGAGGCTGCCCGCAGCCTCTGCAGCGCCGGTTCAGTCCCCGGCCACCGGCAAGGGTCCCACACAAAAAAATAAATAAATTAACAGAAAAAGTTATGATGGAATTTTAAGTAGAAGAGTGATAAATGGTTTATATCTTTAACAGATAACATTGGTGTGCAGAGGTGGAGGAAGACAAGTGAGAAACATAATACAATAATCCAAGCAAGATAATCACTAAGGATTTGTATTAAGGACATGATTACCATATCAAGAAAAGGATGACTGTTATAACAAGATCCAACATAACAATAGATTAAATAAATGTTGACTTCTCAAGTGATTTTGATATAGTGGGATTAAGAGATACCATCCAGGATTCTAGTTTTTATTTGTTGCTCTTATCCTTTTTCTTTCTTTTTGTCTTCCATTCTTTATACTTTTAATTAAACATTTTACATTATTCTATTTTCTCCCCGCTTTTATTGTGTCAGTTATAACATTGTGGATTTTTTTTAAATTTCTTGATTTTTAGTGATTGTCTAGAGTGTGTAATGTATAGTTACTACTAATTCAAAGACATCTCCAAATAAAACTGTACTACTTTACAGATGGCATGAATAGATCATAATAAAAAATTTATTATATAATAACAGAGATTAATCTATAATAGCAAAATTATGTGCACTCATATACTATAAGAATTCCTCCCTAATGTCCATTTCATCAGTGTTGTCCTTCATTTCACTTATGCATAACATATTAGCATATACATATAAACATACACACCCATAGCTGAATACAATGTTGTATTATAATTTTAAGCAATTATGTGATCTGTTGGATCCATTAAGAACAAGAAAAACAAGTCTTTTTTTTTAACTTTCTCTTCTCCAATACTCCAATACATAAAGTAGATCTGCTTCTGATCTATAGCATTTTCCTTCTCTCTAAATTTCTCTAACATTTGATTCAAGGAAAGCCTGCTACAAATGCCTCAATTTTGCGTATCTTAGGAAGTCTTTATTCTCCTTCCTTCTTGAAAGATTATTCCAAGTTCACTATTGAGCATACAGAATTCTAGCTTGGTGGTTTGTTTGTCTGTTTTCCTGAACACTTTAAATACTTATTTCTACTTCATCTATTTGCAGGGTAACTAAGGTAAAAACAGATAAATTTCTTGTGTTTGCTTTTCTATGGGTAAGGTGTTTCTCCCTCTGGCTTCTTTTAAGTTTTTGTCTTTGATTTTTCTGTAATTGAGAATGGTACACCTGGGTATAGACTTTTTTGATATTTATTCTGCTTTGTGTTTCCTAGACCCATAGTCTGGTGTCTGACATTAACTTGAGAGAATTCTTTGTCTTTACTAGCCAAATATTCCTTTTTTCTCTTTCTTCTAATAGTAGTTCCCTTTTGCATATATTTTGCATATATTGCACCATGATAATTTTCCCATACCTCTTGGATATCCTATTTTTGTTGGCCTTTATTTTTCCATTTGCTTTATAGTTGGTTTGTCTACTGAGATATCCTCTTGCTTATAGATTCAGTCATCAGTCATGTGCACGCGATTCATAAACCCATCCGTGGCATTCTCCACTTCTATTACAGCGTTTTTGATTTCTAGCCTTTTTTATTGTTTCTTTCTCATAATGACTATCTCTCTGTTTACATCACCCATCTGTTCTTGTGTGATGTCTACTTTAACCATTAAAGCCTTAGTATAATAATCATAGTCATTTTAAATTCCTAATCTGATCATTCGAACATCCTTGCTATATTTGTCTCATTCTAATGATTAATTTGTCTCTTCAAATTATGTTGCTGTTGTTATGCTTTTAATATGTCTTATAATTTTTTTCTTCATAGCTGGACATGATGTACCAAGTGAAAAGCAATTGCTGTAAACAGGCCTTTAGATGGTGAAGCATGGAGGCAGGGAATTATTCTAGTCCGATGAGTATGTTTCAGTCCTATGGTGAGCCTGTTACTCTGGTCTATGAACTTCACACATGTTTCTTAGTTGTTCTCCCTCCTTTGTATGAGTGCCAAGGTGACTGGAGCCAGCTGGAATTGTGTAGTTTCTTTTTCCAGGTCAGGTAGGCTCTGCTAATATCCCAGAGAGTTAGGCTCTAGTTACATAGATTCTTCTAAGGGCAGACATCTCTGATGTGTTTCAAATTGGTTCTTCCTCACCCCTTGCTTGCCCTTACCCCCATAAGGGCGTTCTCATTCAATATTAACTTTGAGAAACTGGTAGAATTCAGGAGGCAAATATTACCAAAATGTGGGGTCCATTGATTGGGTCTCCCTGGAGTTTTTAACTGTCTGAGATGTCTACTCTGACCTTCAGGAATTCTTCAATTTCATATCAGGTTTCTAATAACCTGGCACTGGCTCTTGATGAGGTCGTTGTTCCAATAATTTGTGATTCTCTGTATTTGTCTGTAGGTCTCTCTAATTTGGGGGCAGCTGTTTGTCCTGTGACTTCACTTCTCTGAAGGATCTAAGAAACATTGTTGATTTTTCAGTTTATTCTGCTTTATGTGTTGTGAGAATTAAACAGTGACTTCCAAATGTCTTACTGTCATACCATAAAGTAGAATCTTGTTTATTTTTTAAAAGTTGATATGTGAAGACTTTATCTTAGTTTGTACTGCATCCATAGTGAGTGAGTTTGAACACTGAACATTTTCTAATGGTCATATTTGTATTTCTGTAAATTGCCTCTTTTCAACATGAATGATTTTGTTATCATTCGATGTCTACTATTAATAAAACCATCTTATCTTTTAACCAACATATTAAAAATATGATGTGCACACAATAAATTCACATAAAGCTTACAGATCAGTGAATTTTGACAATGCACATACTTGTTTAAGTATCTTTAAAATTAAACATAAAAAGGGCCTCCCAGGTGGCGCAGCGGTTGAGCGCTGGGTTGCGAAGCTGCCCGCCGGTTCGATCCCCGGCTGCTCCCCGGCCACCAGAGGAGGGTCCCACATGGCGTGCAGACCTCTCCTGCCGCCCGCTGCTCCCCTCAGCAGTGTACTTCGGTCCTTCTGCCTGCTCTGCTCCCCGCTCTGGCTCTGGTGAGTTCTCTTGCCCTCCCGTGCTTGTGACTGTACCCAGTGCATGTATAAACAAAACAAACAAACGAAATAAATAAATAAAAAAATGCCTCTAAAAAAAAAAAAAATTAAACATAGAAAGTTTATTTCCATAAAATGTTCATGCTTACTTGCTTCTTTGTAGTCAGTACTCATATAAAGCTGCTGATCTGCTTTCTGTCACTCTGGAATAATTTTTCCTGCTCTAGAATTCATTACAAATGCAAGTGTACAGTTTGTACTCTGTTATGTAAAGATTCTTTCACTTAGCATGTTTCTGAAATTTTTCTATGTTGATGTGTATATCAGCAGTTTGCTCCCTTTTAAAGATGAGAACTATTTCATTGGATAGACATATCATAATTTATTTATACACTCATACTCATATTTTTAAAGAGATTTTTTAAAAGATTTGTTTATTTTTAAAGATTTTATTTATTATTTTTAAAGATTTATTTATTTATCTTTTATGTAAAAAGATTATTTATTTATGCAAGAACTAGGGTGCAGGCCAGAGGTGCGGGGGTGGGGGTAGTGAGAGGATTCACCAGAGACAGAGTGAGGAACTGAATAGAAAGACTGAATAGAAAGACTGCTGAGGGGAGCAGCAGGCAAGACAGGAGTCTGTTGTGCCATGTGGGTAGCTCCTTGGCCGGCAGGGGGACCGAACTCGTGCTGCAGAGGTTGCTGACAACTTCACAGTGCTGTGCTTAACCTCTTGTACCATCAGGGAGGCCCTACATTCACATTTTAAGGGACATTTGATTTTGACTTCTTTTCTAGTGAATGAAGCTCTACTATAAACATTTGTGTACAAGATTTTGTGTGGACACATTTTCATTTCCCTTTGGTAAATATGTTTATTCATCTTTTTTAAGATTTATAAAAGAGATAAGATTGCATTATAAAATTATGCAAGTTTTAGATATAAATCACTAAAAATCAACATCTGAATAATGAATGACACTAGAACGATGGCACTAAGTGTGGTGTGATATGTATGTATGTACATATGTAAGTATATATATATATATAAAATATATATACACATATATTAAGATGTGAAGCTGTACTGCTCAATGTATATAGTATTATAGAGTCGTGGTAAGTAAATAAAATTTTTATTACAAAAATTGACATCTGTATATACTACATTAAGTTCCATCACTGAAAATCCAAACTCTATTCTTCACCATACATTTGCCTCATACCCATATTACCCTTACTCTTCTCTCTTCCGGTAGTCATTATTTGGTCTTATAGTCTAAAAGTTTATTTTTGTTTTATTTAGTTGATTTGTTTGGTTGCTAGGTCTTATGGTAAGTTAATATTTAACTTTTATAACACATTGTCGAGTTATTTTTCAAGTATTTCCATCAGCAATGTATGAAATTTCAGATGTCACCACTTCTTTTCCAAGTATGTTTTGGGTGTTAGATGCATGGCTTCAGTGTATGTCCAGCAAACAGGGCTTTGCCATGTAACCACTCCTGACTGCAGTGAGACTGGAAATAGTTTGTAACTAGGATAACAGGTATTCACTGAAAACTCAAGGTTTATATTACAAATGGAACAAAGTAAAAACAGAAATGCTGGAAATTTATTTCCAGTAAAGGGGGAAAATCAAATCTTATTTCTAGATTTGGAGTAGATGCTAGTGACATTAATTGATTTGATATGTTAAATGTGAGATGTTAGATATCCAATTGGATGGATGAGTATATCACTATATCATTCTACTATTTTCCAGGTGGCATCAAGACTGGAAATATAAACTTGGCAATCATAAGCATGAGGATAGAATTAAAGGAATGACATCAACTAGGGAGTAAATGTAAAATCATGTTTCCATCTGATGACACAATGATTTAACAAAATAATTTCAGAGACCAATCTGAGTATAACTATAATTAGTACCATGCTAGTTAGCCTAAAACAAAACAAAATACCTTTTTATATCCTTTCCCTCGTGTTACATTAGACCACTTACAGATTATGTTTCCCAGGCTCTCTTAAACCTAGGAGTGGCTAGATGACTAAGTTCTTACCAGTAAATGTGAGTGACACATTCTTCTGTCAGTGTGGATACTCATACCCAGAGAAATTCTTATACAAAAAGAAAAATGAGCATCAATTTCATTTTGTCACTGTATTTGAATATTTTTTATCAGCGTATGCCTTATTTTAACTGATTCATGAATCATATACAATGAGTATTTTCTGCTCAACTAAAAAAATGCACATTGGCACTTATTATATCAACATCTCTGATTTTATCACAATCTTACTTATTTTTTAGCATTACTTATTTGAGTTTATTTCCCAGAAAGTATTAGGTTGCCAGTATATTTAA